CTTCGGTGACTCAAGGTCTCTTTGAATGAATTTTTCTAAGGGACTCTCTTCAAGATATACATTCTGGTCAAATTCAATAGAGCCCCCTAAATGATTAATGCCCTCGGACTTTTGTAAAAATTCTACCTTAAGTTCACTTTTATGTTCTCCATTTCCCTCGTTGAGAGACGAACAAACAGGTCCTTGATCGTCTCTTTTCTCTTCCACACCTAATGGAGAAACATTAAAGTTTTCCTCAGGCATTACTCCCTCCAGCCCATTATTGTGATTTTCATTATTTACTCGAACAAGAATACCCCTATCAAGCAAGTTTTTCAATGTTTCTTGATATTCATCTTCAAAATCAGCCCAAAGTTTTTCTTGTTCGAGATAATATTCATTTTCATCAAATTCCTCATCTTGAGGTGGTTGGCCTAAAGAAGGTGTTCCTTCTTGCGCTATGTTTGATTCAACAATTTTATCCACCTCAATTTCCTCATCTTTGGATTCATCAGCTAACCATTCATTTTGACGAATTTTATTAGATTCATTAGGTTTGAATTCTAATAGTTCATAGAGATTTCTAATTTCCTTAAGAATATCTTCTTTTTCATTATTGAAAATCTCTAGATTAGAATCAGGGTTTAGTGAAGAATAAGGAAAAGTATAACAAAGATCACCTTCTTCATTTACTAAACCCTTCTTTTTAAGGAATTCATCAAAATCAAAGTTAGTATATCTCTTTAATTCTATTTGCCCAATTAAATTTCTAATAATGCGATCCATGTCATTTTTTATTGATTTTAATTCATTAGTAAACGCATCAAAATTATTAATAGGGCAAAATGAGGAATAAGGAGAGGAATAATTCTCTTGATAATCAAAGTTATTATAATTCTCCTCCTGCTCATAATTATTTTCATCGAAGAATCTAGGGGGATTATTACAATAATTTTGATTATCATAAAAATCACAATAATTATTTCGATAATTTGGTAAATGATCAAAATTATTAAATTTTCTCCCATGATCATAATCATCAAAATAATTATTATTCATAAGAGACTTGTAATGCCAATTGTTTTCAAAATCTTGATCATTACCAAAATTATCTTGTGAACAACCAAAATTACCATTATCATAATTATTCCACCTATTACCATTAAATTGATAATCATTTTACACATAGGTGAATTTTCATAAAAACTATTTTCATAATGGTAATTTTCGTTATAATCATTAGAAAAATTATTTTCACAATATGGGTATGGCGGGTGATCATTAGAATGAGAATTATAAAAATTATTAAAACGACTCATAAAAATGTTAAAAACAAATAACTCGAGTAAACTAAAAATTTTCCTATGAAAATAGAAAAACTAACTAAACCGTGCCACTCCCCGGCAACGGCGCCATTTGACGAAGCTAAGATATAGCAGTAAGTCAACAAATAACCGAGTTAAACTCGGGTCGTTCTCTCCAAGAGTGACGAAAGGAATAGTTAGTTTTATTATTTATCACAGGTAAATTTATAGTTTAAGAAACGTGAAATAATAAGAAATAAAGCATCTAAAATAAATGATAAAATAACTTGAGGAGTTAAGATCAAGTTGCAGACTTAACACAATTTAACTCATCTTTTATTAACAATTGGACTAATGAAATTTGTAGCACTTATATTTAATATATCTCCTATTTCTAGGTCTCAATATTAAATATAAGACTATTATATTTCCAGTACATCTCCATTTTTCAGGTCTCAGTACTGTGCTAGAAAATGTTTGGCTTAAATAATTCTAAATCCTCATAGACAAGGCAAGAACTATTTTCCAATTACTTAATTAATAAAATGTTTAACATTATTAATTAGTTGAAACCATTCCAAACGGTTATTTCTAACACTGCCGATTTCTAGGTGTTCGGAACGTGTGGCTTAACTAATCTTTTTACTTCATAGACAAAGTAAAAGATTAATTTCCAAGGATTAATTAATAATAAAAATAATTTTATTAATTAATAAAGATTATTTCATTTTCTAACAATTAATCCAATTACTAATAAATAGATGAAATTAAATTGATTAAATCTTAATTCCGAATCTTAACCCATTTTAAATTACCAATTCATAATATCAAACAAAACATTCATCATCATTAAAATCTTCAAAAACATATCAATCATCAACAAAGTAAAATTTTATTAATAAAAAGTTCAATAAAGATTACAATAAAAAGTAGAGTAAAACTTACAGTGCTTCAAAGACTTGAGAATTAACTTAAGATGAAGAAATTGAACCACACAATTTTAATACAATATTTAGAAATAAAAGTGAAGATTTTCTTTTGCCCTAAAAAGGGGAAAAACCGATGGAAGCATGGGAGAAGGGGAGATCAGGCGCTGCAATTTATAGAGGAGGATCGCCGACTAGCGAGCAGACCGGCGGCCGCCAGCCAGCCCGCCGGCGCGCCGCTGGAATCCACTGGAACCTTCTCACCGCTGGTCGCCGTCGACAGGCGGGCAGACAGGCGGCCGCCTGTCAGCCCGCCAGCGCTCTCCTTCGCTGTCTGCTGAGCTTCTCGCCGCCTCCGCCTTCTGACTGGCGGCCAGGCAGGCTGCCGCCGGCCAGGTCGCCTGTTAGGCCGCCAAAATCTGCCGATGCTACCTTGCTCAAAATTTTGTTCCAAACATTTTTTCCTTCTGCACCGACTTCTAATTCCGCACCGTTTGTGAGATAGAATTGTTTTTCTATTAAAATGTACTCTTTTTTCTCTATACTTGGCCCAATTTTATATATTATTTCAAAGACATTCTTTTTAAGATCAATTCATCAAAACATATGTTTTTGATAAAAAAGAATAAATAATTTATTGTTTTGATAATAAAAATGGTACAAGAAGAAATTAAATATGAGTAAAAGGATAAGTACAAAACGGACTTATCACCGTCATGTGTCTTGAACAGCCACTGTCTAAGTACCAGACACCTGGGTACTTAGCGGCTTTCTGCATTAGGAGGAGGAAGATTTTGGTACCCAATTAAGTTTGGGTCCGGAGTAGTTAATGGTGTGTGTCCCTACATCAAGTTTGAAGTTGCAGGGAATTTTCCTTGCAGCTCTAAACTTGTTGGGATTGTAATCATAGTTATAGGCATAAAACTTCCTACGTGCAGGAGGTGCTATTTCCTGTTTCCTCCTAGCAAACC